TCAAACCTAGGTCTTCAAGTTCCTTGGAGGAAGAACCCATCAGTAGTTGATAGAACGAATGGAAGTTTCGCTCACCCGACTGCTGTTTGACTACACGCGACTAAATGAGTAAATCATAACAAAGGTGTTAAACGACGTTTTCAGTTCGTCTTACCTTTTCGAGCAAGTAATTGTTGATATGACCACCAATCGGGTCGCCTTTGAAGTCGAAATTGATGTCCATGTACTTGCCGAATCGACTCGAATTGTCATTACGACTGGTCTTCGCGTTTCCAAACGACTCAAGTATGCAGTTCGATTGGAGGAGCGCATTTTTTATCCTACAACAAAATCATAAGCTCTTGAACTGTTGGATTTTGAAACGCTATTTGTTGTTACAGCAAAGTGAACAGTTTTGTTCCTACTTTAAACAGTGAGCTAGAAAACTTTACAATATCTTATGGGGAACTGAACTTCTGGGCATCGACTCAACGAAAAAGTACCATCAAATGCGGCTACGGCAAAAGAGGGCAGCCATACAGACATACATGCACGTGAATGCTTTTAATTTTTGAAATCAAACACAATACACAGATCTGATTTCGTGTAAAAAGTACAATCAGTTGCTAAGTAAAGCAGGCACGGAAGGAGATATCGATTCGTTACATGTTTACGAATAACAGACGATGGTGTTCCCTTCCTGATCCATGGTTCAAAGCAACAATCGAAAGGGACGATTAACAATCACTTATTTAATGACGCGTTTTGATACCGCACACCAGCCTCATCATCAGCGTAACAGTATAATTATATAATGACTACTACTCCAGGATACCATAACTAAGATAAGTAAACTGTTGTGCCGTCTAAAGGCGTCAACAAATAAACGAGTTCACATAGTATCTTTTGATTTTTAGAGAGTAACTTTTTTCATGAACCCTGGATCAAGAAACGATGTCCATTAATTAATAACAGATATTCTTAAGATTTTTTAAAAACACCAGTACGAACACAATATTTAGCAAACAAGAATTTAACGTTCCATGTTTTTAAAAGTTCGAATTTGCATAAAATAGGAACCACTTATACTGTTACACCTGAACGGACATCAAATACCTGAAAACAATCAGAAGGAAGATTCCTTCTATTCTTTTTCCGCCTAACCATCCCCGAGGCTGAACAATTACTGTCTGTCACTCGGCCATTCTCTGTTATAGAAAACTGGCTGCTGCTTCTACCAAATGTCTTTCTAGATCTACAGTGCTTCTCTTGCACGTCAGCAATCTTTCTTTGGTGCCTTTTCCTATGTATATCTCTCGAAGATATGTTACCAAATTCCTTGCTGGAATCTACTCGATGCAAAATACTCATTCTTTGGGGTCATTCTTTTCAATGCTCATATATGTTTATAGCAATTCAGCTATCACGCAATTTATAATAGCACTTGATGCAAACTCCGACGTGGCCGTTCCCAAGCTCAGATGACAAATAATGAGCATTGGAGACACTAACGAAGTCTCCGTGAAACTGAGCCGCCTGCGCTTCATGGCATTACTGTTATCGAAAATTATAGTAACTCGGTCGTCGACCAGGTTAACAAGAGTAGCGAAGGTTGTTAGGG